ACGCCGCTCGCGCCGATATTCTTCGACGTCCGCTAGCTGCTGCTCCGACTCGTTGCGCGAAACCGTAACGGCGCAAACGCGATTCGACGATCGACCGAAGATAACCCGCGATACGGCGTATCGCGATTTTCGATCGAGTCCCAACCTAACGAAATTGGATCGTTCGACGATCGTAAAACTATGCGAAGGTCGAACGTTGTTCGGCGTATCGGGGATACCCACGATCGGGTAACGTCGACCGAGCATCGAACGACTCGAAGTAGGCGCACGATCGACGAAGCAAGAATAACCAGCGCGTTTCTTCGAAATGCAGCAGGGTGCTCCTTCGTGGAACCGCAGAAGGATCGGTCGGGTCTCTCGGTTTCTGCTGGTGGCGCAAATCGTGGAAATTTACGAGGCCTCGCTCGTTTCTTTCTACGCGATCCGTCTGTCTCTCTCTTTCGCTCGTTCTCTCGTTCCTCAAAGTATACGCTAACGCTCTCGGCTTGCGTCATTGCTCGCAGGTCTTTCTGCGTCCGTATACGTTGCGGCCTACGTGCGGCCGAACGACGTGGCAACCGCGCGCGAAGCTAAACATATTAACTGTCGGCTCACGCCACAAAAACAACGTGATCTCATTCTGCTACGTATATGCAAGGAACGCGCGATTCGCATGCTCGCTTCTAAACCTCATTCAGCGATAATCGGAGGATAGAGGTTGAGAGAAAGGAAAAATAAGGAACGCGAAGAAGCAGGGACCGTCGTCGATGACTCGTAACGGTAAGCCGACGGAACGTTGGCAATAACTGGCAAGAACAATACGGATCGCGTTACCCCGCCGAGCTATAATAGGGACAACTTCAACCCTAACGAGACTAGCAATACCAGTAAGCTGACACGGCCACGGGTGTTTTTCTTGGAAGGCAAAATCCCCTCGCGCCTCGCTAGCCTTTCCCCTGTTCGATGCCAATAAAACTTCCTAGACAACGACGTCGCATTGGCGCTCGGTACGGAAAGCTTTCAAGAATTGTACCGTACGCGAAACCTGACGTAGCTCCTCAACGATTTAACCTAGATAACGCGCCTAATCTCGGCGAGCGAGAAAACGTCGTAGCCAGAATCGCGCTCACCGCGTTTTTTCGCCACCGCTCTTTCGATCCGTCCGACGATCGGACGATCGTCGAGCGAGATAAAATTCTGCGTAGCACGGTCGAGCGTGCGGCGAGTAGGCGAGAAAAGGCACGATCGAGTCGCGGAGAAAGGCGAGCAAAAATCGCGGCTCCAAGCTGGCTAGGACGGCGGAGCTGGTGAGCAGCGAGCGAACGGGCAAGCGAGCGAGCGAGCAGCCAGGCAGCAAGCAGTCAGACGAGCGCGGCAGACAACATGGCGCCGAGAGCGTCGTCACGCCGGCGTGACGTTTCCCGCGCGCGTCATTAACGGAAGTGAGCACACAAAATGGCGGAGTTTTACGGCGGTGAGGTGTGAAAGGGAGGAGAGTACGGCCAGGGGGCAAGGGGGAGAGGCGGGTGGGGCGCCTACGGGTGCGGGCAGTCAGGCAGGATGACGAGGCCGTAGAAAGAGAGGAGTTGGTAGAGGTTAGGTCGGTGGCGCAAAGAAAGAAGAATGACTGGTGGCCGGCGGTGGTGGACTAGCGCCCGTGAGCTCGAGAGCGGGACGAGTCGGGGGGCGCCGCTGGATAGAGAGAAAAAGAAGAGGTGAGGAGCGAGAGAGAGAAAGCAGGAGAGGTGGCCGGTAGGTGGGGGAAAAGACGGTGAGAGACCGCGAGCTCCGTGGTGGTGGCGCGCGCGCGGAGAAGCGAGGGGTTCTAGAGCGAGGGAGCGAAACGTCGACGAGATAGAGGGGAAGGGAAAGACCGTTTCAGTGGGAAGCAGCCGCAGTTCTCGACGATGGTGGGGATGAAAATTAGTTACGGCATCTACCAAGACCTAAAAGGAACTCCGTGCGCGGCGCGGCCAGGCCACTTCGTGCAATGTTACGCGTTAAGGTACCCCCGTGCGTCGTTGGCAGTGCCCGGTTTCGAAGCTCATCGTCGTCATCGTCGTCGCCGTCGCCGTCGTCGTTCTTGTTCTCGTTCTCGCGTTCGACGTGACGGTTATCGTCACGCTGCGAAACAGTTCGGTACGTGAAAACGCGCTATGGCTCATGGCGTAAGCGAAGTGCTCGGTGAGGGAAGCACGGTGAAAATGGTGCATCAGAAGCAGCAACAACAGCAGTCGGTGCATCAACATCAGCAGCAACAAAACGCGAAGAAATCCGTCGGCGTGATGGGTAGCAGACGCATATTCGCGCCGGCCTTCAAGCTCAAGGTTCTCGATTCGTACAGAAACGACATCGACTGTCGCGGAAATCAACGAGCCACGGCGAGGAAGTACGGCATTCATCGACGTCAGATACAAAAGTGGTTACAGTGCGAGGATAATTTGAGAAACAGTTGTGCCGAGACTGGAAACGGTGGTGGAGGAGGAGCAGTGACGACGACGGTGATCTCTCCCGCGGGTGTTTCCAAGCCGGACGGTGCCGTGTCAGAATCCACGCCGTGACTCCAGCAGCGCCGGCCTTGAACCTCAGCCTCGCCAGACTGCACGGCGACGAGCTGGCTACGCAGCAAGGGCCCCCACCTCTTCTTTCTCGTCCTCCTCACGGTAGTTCGCCCTCTTCGCCCCAATACGTTTCTAGATCCGCCACGGCTTCGGTTTTACCCGGCCGGCAAGGATACCAGGAATACTCGAATCAGGATCAACGTCGTCACCGTCGCGAAACCGACGACCGGATACAGGTAACGGACGTTCACGGGTATCCGGAGGCTCGCGCGAACCAGGAAGCCGGTTACTACGCTCAGAACGCGGACGGTCAACGAGAGCTCGAAAACGCGACATCGTTCGACGCCCGAACCGAACCGAAGGTGTACCAGACCCTGACCAGTTATCGGTACAACGAAAACGAGATCGCCGCGAGAATTCATCAACGTCGTTCGCCAACCTCGTCGAATCACGGTCATCGATCGTCGCAAAATTACGGGGACGCGGATTCCTCCGTGGGCGGGAAATCGTCGTACGGTTTGCTGGTAGCGACGTCGATGATAAAGACGGAACGCGCGAGCCCAGACTCGGCGGCGACGCCAGGGCCGTGCGAGTCGACGAGTTCTCCCGGCCTCTCCAGGGTCCCACTCTCGCCTCTGTTGCACCAAGCCAGCAACGGTTCCAGCTCCAGTTCCAGCTCCGCGACGTCCGTTCACTTCGATTCCCCGCGGGCCTCCGCGAGTCCGTGCTCGTTGCACGTGCAAGAGCACGCGCGAGCGCACGCATACGCGTACGCGTCGCCGACTCCGGATTCCGAGAAGCCGATCCCGTCCATGCATCGCCAGGAGAGAGAGTCGAAGGGGACGACGATCGTCCGTATCGGCGAGAAGGGAACGCAGGACGTCGCGGGGGAGGCAGAAATCGCCAGGGCGGTGGTCAAGGAAGAGATCCAGCTGGAGGAAGAGGAGAATTCCGAGGAGGGAAGAGAAGCCGTTCCCGCGTCCGAGTACGTCGATTATCACCGACCACCTGCCGGCTCGTCTCTCGTCGAATCGCGTCCCGTCAGCCCTCCGGAAGGATACTCGTTGCCCTCGAGCCCTCGCGGACCGACCAGTTCCGGCAGATCCAGCACTAGCTGCTCGGACAGCGAGATGGATCCTCTCGACTGCTCTTCCGGTAGCCACAATTCGTCCAACGATCTAGCGCGTCGACGATCGTTCTCTCTGCGATTCAAACTGGACGTCCTCGACGCTTTCCACCGCGACGTCGGCGTGGCGGGCAATCAACGCGCCACGGCTCGAAAATTCGGCATAAATCGTCGTCAAGTACAGAAATGGTTGGGCCAGGAGACGGAGCTGAGGGGCGAGATCGCTCTACGTGGAAACTCGCGGCAACGACTCGGCCCTATCCAGGATGCCGCTTCCGGTGACTCACCGGTAGATCTGAGGACGTCGAACTACGTCTCCAGCTTATCGCAGGATCGAATCGAAGCCGATTACGAGCGATCGCCTCCGCCTCTTTACTGTTGCGACATCGGCTCCTCCTCTTCGCAGCATCTTCCGTATTATCACCATCCTGCCACGATAGACCCGTCTTCCGAGACCGAGCTCACCGTTTCTTGCAATCTCTCTTGCTGCATGGACAGTCATGTCGCGACCGCGACTTCGGTCAACTCCTGCTACCAGGAAGTGTCCTTAAGGGGATCCTGCTACGCGGAATCTCAGAACGGGCTCTACTGCTACTCGCCCAGAGAGTATTCGTCCGAGATCACTTCGATTCCCGAGCAATCGGAGGAATCGTCCTCGCCGCTCAAAAGGCAACGCTGCACCCTCTCGTGTTGCTACGAGGCGCTGTCGCCGCCGAAGAGGCTCTGCCTGGAGGCGGAGGATTCGACGAGCGCGAATTCCTGCCAGGAAACGCCTCCCCAAGAAACGCCGCTGTGCCTGGTGAAGCCAAAGAGGCTCGTCGTCGCTTCACCGTTGAGGACGGAACCTGTGACGAGCACGGTGCCGACGCCACCGGCATCCGCCGCGCCGCACCAACCAGGACCACCGTCCAAGAAGGACGCTATCTTGTTCAAACCGTATTTGGACAATCCTGTGAGCAAACCCGCAAAAGAGCACGCGGTTCACGGGGAATTGTCGGCCATCGCCGTTCAGAACGTCAACAACAACAACTGCCAAAGCGTCTGCAATTTGAACGAAAGTAACAGGGGCCACGATTATGCCCTCGAGCTTAGCTTAAGACTGCCGGTATCCTGGAGGACACACCCGAGTCCGTACACCGAGTTCCCGCAGGTCAGGAGCGCGTTCGTTAGGTATCCAGCGAGTCCTCATTACAGTTAATTCGAACGTTCGTCCGATCCTCGATCCCGCGAAATAATTCGGCGACGTTTTATCGATCAGCGGACCGGACCAACGAGACGCGTTTGGTCCTTGTTCGAGTATCTAGGAATCGATTCCACCGATGTTAAAACGTTCAGAATCCGGATTCTAATCGAGCCTCGAAAATTCTAACATATCTTGGTTAACGTTTTATTCGCGGTCGCGATCGTTCAGAGGCAAGGACCCCGCGGACAGGATCTCTCCGTGGAAGGATCGATTAGTACGTGATCTACGACACGTCGTAAGCCACGTAAGCGTTTATCGTTTCCACGGATCGTCGGTACAGAGTTATATATCGTGATAAAGTCTTAATCGGCCATTGGACGAACTGGGACGTGGAAGGAGATTATACGCGCGGTCGCTCCTCTCTTCGAACCTGCTGCCTCTCCTTCTTTTACCTCGCGCGCTTCTTCTCCGATCCCCTCTCAAAAGTTTGCTTTTTTTCTCCTCTTTTTCGCGCGTCTTTATCGTCGAGATTAGCGTTCAGCGGCTATCGGCTAGGCCGTTTAGAGGTCGAGTGCGCTCGTTACAATTACGGAATTGTATCAGTCTCGGACCGATATCGATCGCGAAAGAAAAAGTCTCGCGGCTGACAACGTGGTTTCTATCGTTGCGTTACGCAACGGTCTGACGACGCTCCGTCTCTTGTTCGTCGAGTAATCGCGTTCTCGCGAAAAAATGCTCGATTCGTATCGAAACGAGTGTTCTCCGCGAGAATAATGGCTACCAATTTCCTTGGTTTTTCCCTTTCTTTTTCCGTCGCTGTCGCGGTAGCTTCTTGGCTCCCGGCTCGTCCGCGTGCCCGATTTCTCGGTACTCGCGTCACGCGTCCTCTCGCTCTAACGAAATAACGCTCGTCGCATTTTTTATTCCGTCGTCGTCGATCGAGGATCGATCTTTTTAGATATCGCGTTTAATTGCTCAAACAATTTCTTCCATGGGCGTAGCTGTGCGATGCACGCCGCGCAAGTATTACCACAGGGTTTTTCGCTTTTTCGTTTATTCTCTTTTATTCTTGGACCGCGGATGTTCGTGCGTTTGAAAGGCGTTAGAATACGCGCGAATCGCGTAAATTAAAATGATATTAACTTTCAAAGAAAAATAAGCGAACGTTTCGAATTTGTAAAATATGCGAAATACGTAGATTAAGATAATAGTTGGAACCGAAAAGTGTATATTTGCACGAGCATTCGCAGTCTACTTATTATTCGTCGGTTCTCTCCCTTCTCGATCGACGCGTTCATCGATCGTCTTCGATTTCTTTCGCGTTCTCCTCGACAAATTTTGTAAATATTGTAAATAATAATTTGGCCGATTCGCAAAGCGCAGGAGTAAATTTTTTTATTTTTAACTGAGACAGAATCTCCGTTACACGAATCGAAGGTTTTTAGATTAATAGAAATATCTTTTTTTTTATATTTTAGAGTAAATCGCACGATTACGAATTACGAAATAATATTACATTGAACGCGTTCTTTTTTTAACGTATTTATTTGCCCAGGGTTATATTCCTTTTATGACTTAGTCTATATCGCGTTAGCTTTTTAAGTAGGTGATTATTATTACGCGTATTTGTTCACTTTCTTCAGTATTTTACGCTCTTTCGGAGAAATATATACTGTTTAAATAATAAAATATTCGAGTAACGGAGATTCTATGGTGATTCGGTTTTATCCTGTCGTTTAATGCGCAATTCTAGGATATTTCTCCTTGTTGATGCAATAAACAATTGAGGAGAGAGAGAAAGAACTGTACACGAAATACATAGAAATATGTAAGGCATTAAAAAATATTACGTTAAGTATTAAGAGTATAATGTTTGGTACTTTTCGTTGTACGTTCTGTATCGAGAGAAGAGAAAATTTCTTCGCTGTGGAGAAAATTGGAAATAGAAAGATGTGTACTTATACATTGTCGTTTCGGTAATCGGCGCTGCAATTAAAACTTCGTATCGCGCGATATTACGGCGGAGGGAGTTAACGATACCGTTGTAAATTTATTCTTCGTGTATTCGAAATCGTGATTTCCACAGCGAAGGTTCGTTCGCTCGTCGGTTTCGATGGTTGATCGATAGGGGAGAATTTGAAAAAGACAGACACGAAAACGCTCCGTAACAACCCGCGTGCCTTACACACTTTCACGCTTTAACACTTTCACGGCCGATAAATTTTACGCGGTTGAAAAATTTCGAGCTTCGAAGCTCCGACAAAACGAAAATAAACACGAAACAATTTACCGCGAGGAATATAAGCAACAGTAGCTATAAATTATTTAAACGCCAACGTGCGGCAAGTTCGAAACGGCCACGAACGTGTTAAGGTTAGAACCTACACAGCGACTGTTTAACAGATACAATTTTAGAAATTTAGACGATGTTCTTAATTATTCTTATACAGAAATTGTCCGTGCGTTGTCTTCTTCGTTGGATCGCGTATTCCGATTCTCGCGAAACGATAAAGCGTTTCTTTTTTAATCTCGTCGAATAGCCTTCGCTGCGATGAAAGTTTCTAAACCGGCGGTCGATCGCGACGATAATAATAATAGCGGAAAAAAGCGTAGAAATTCCTCTCGAAGATTACCTTTCTCGTAATCGGTTTCGAGTAGATATTGGGTGTAACGAGAGTCTGCGTGGCTCGTTGCTCGCGAAAACGGATGCGGACCAAACGGTAAAGCGAAAATGGCGGTTCCACGAATGTTCTTGCGATCCGGCAATTGAGCGAGTCCGCGGCAAAGAAGGGCAATTTTGTAAATCACCGTCGCAGACGAAGCAGTTACGTCAATGTTTCAATATTCAGAGCCAATCGAGCTCGTTCCCAGCGCGGCTAATCTCGCGTATTGCGACAGCCGCGTGTATTATCGGTCGAAATGCACTCGCTCGTTACCGACTGCGTCGACACGGGTCAACGGTACATCAATCTCTCGCGAAGCGTCAACTTTTGTAAATAAAACTTTTTCCTATCTCGAGGAAAAAAGAAATAAATTCGCGAGGCAAGAACATTCGCTTCTCCACGTTAAGGTAGTTGTATCGCGAACTCGCTTAGCAAAATTTTCAATAGTCGAACTGCACCGGACCGTATCGAACCATAGAGGAAAATTATTTTCGCGTCGACCTGCTACGTTGAAAATTCCATGCTTTACGGAATAGAATCGCCTTAAAGGAATTTCCATTTTGATCTCGTTATCGGGAATTCGGAGAATCGGAAGACGCGAATCGAGACGAGGGTAGAAAACGAGCGTATTAGCCTTGTCCGCGTTCGTCGATAGGGTCAAGGTGGCAATGTACAATAAAATGTAGCGTAATCGTAAGCCATAATGAATTACATAATGCCATAACGTTTTACATAATAAACGCATAGTGTCGAACCGACTGACGAAAGAGGGAGCGTGCTCGATAGCGCGAGAAATAAATGCGTGGATACGTGCGCGCGTGCGTGTTTGCGTGTGTTCCGTGTGCACAGCCCACAAGAGTCTATTAAACGAGGCATAAAGCATTGTATAAGCAATATTTTTTAAGTGTATCAAAGTGTGTGAACGGGTGAGAGGGACGTGAAGGGATCGAACACGAGCACGAAACGGTGGGGAGCAGCAACGGTTCGTGGGCGAGCCCCCGCGTTTTAAAGTTCGTACACACGCGTATGTAGGCAGGCAAACTCTTGAGCAGCCAGACAGACAGACCACGTACACACACACACACATACAAACACATACACACTGAGGCATGTATACAAAGTTATGTCGTAAGCATAATGCTCGTGTATCGTACATGTACAAAGAAAAATTTATATATAGTGTTTCGTTGCTCGCGAAAACGGATGCGGACCAAACGGTAAAGCGAAAATGGCGGTTCCACGAATGTTCTTGCGATCCGGCAATTGAGCGAGTCCGCGGCAAAGAAGGGCAATTTTGTAAATCACCGTCGCAGACGAAGCAGTTACGTCAATGTTTCAATATTCAGAGCCAATCGAGCTCGTTCCCAGCGCGGCTAATCTCGCGTATTGCGACAGCCGCGTGTATTATCGGTCGAAATGCACTCGCTCGTTACCGACTGCGTCGACACGGGTCAACGGTACATCAATCTCTCGCGAAGCGTCAACTTTTGTAAATAAAACTTTTTCCTATCTCGAGGAAAAAAGAAATAAATTCGCGAGGCAAGAACATTCGCTTCTCCACGTTAAGGTAGTTGTATCGCGAACTCGCTTAGCAAAATTTTCAATAGTCGAACTGCACCGGACCGTATCGAACCATAGAGGAAAATTATTTTCGCGTCGACCTGCTACGTTGAAAATTCCATGCTTTACGGAATAGAATCGCCTTAAAGGAATTTCCATTTTGATCTCGTTATCGGGAATTCGGAGAATCGGAAGACGCGAATCGAGACGAGGGTAGAAAACGAGCGTATTAGCCTTGTCCGCGTTCGTCGATAGGGTCAAGGTGGCAATGTACAATAAAATGTAGCGTAATCGTAAGCCATAATGAATTACATAATGCCATAACGTTTTACATAATAAACGCATAGTGTCGAACCGACTGACGAAAGAGGGAGCGTGCTCGATAGCGCGAGAAATAAATGCGTGGATACGTGCGCGCGTGCGTGTTTGCGTGTGTTCCGTGTGCACAGCCCACAAGAGTCTATTAAACGAGGCATAAAGCATTGTATAAGCAATATTTTTTAAGTGTATCAAAGTGTGTGAACGGGTGAGAGGGACGTGAAGGGATCGAACACGAGCACGAAACGGTGGGGAGCAGCAACGGTTCGTGGGCGAGCCCCCGCGTTTTAAAGTTCGTACACACGCGTATGTAGGCAGGCAAACTCTTGAGCAGCCAGACAGACAGACCACGTACACACACACACACATACAAACACATACACACTGAGGCATGTATACAAAGTTATGTCGTAAGCATAATGCTCGTGTATCGTACATGTACAAAGAAAAATTTATATATAGTGTTGGAAGATGGAAGCAGAGAGCGCGTATATATGTATATATATATATATATACACATATGTATACATGATTATATATATATATATTATATTTTAATACGATGAACTTTTAGGTTAAGAACGAAGCGCCTGAAAAACTCGCCCGGTGCCTTTTTAGATCGTTCGTGCCTTATAGCTTCGCGCGAGGAGGAATCAAGGACCAAAAAAGTGTCTCGCGTCCTTAGAACGAGCCACGGGTATTTATACGTCCCCCTCCGCGACGAACAAGCGTTCCGTGCTGGTTCTTGGCAAGGATAACGCTTCGCGACAGAGTGCACACACCGGTGACTCGTCCAAGCGTGTAATAATATCAGTATTCAGAATTTATATTCGTTTATTTATTATTGGTCGCTGACACGGTGGTCCGTATCGAATAATTTACCGACATTTTGATATATCTTCTAAATTGTTCGTAAAGAAACCCGTTCGCGTGCAATCACGTAACGCGCGGGACTTCCCCTCTTTCCTCGTCGTTCGCCGAAAGAACGAACGACGCGTTCGACGGTGCCAGTGGATCAGGAATTTTTGTTCGTTTCACGGAATAGCAAAATGTCGGTGTATTTTTCGATTTGGACCGTTTTATAAACCGTTCTCGATCCGCGTCTGAAACGAATCGTTCTTTCGATTCTCGATCTCGTCGAATAAAGAAGATTAATTGAAATGATATTACGATTTCACCCTTTCTCCCTCCTTTTTAAATCAATTGGCTCGATCGAAACCAAGATAAATTGGGAAAACGATCGATCCGAATGCGCGTGAACTCGTTCTGAGGGTCGATCGAGAGCTGACGAAACGAATCAATCAGGGTTCCTTCGCCGAGAGGCAGCTCAAAGTGTGATAAATCGCCTCGTTTCTCTGAGGCTTATCTATTTTTCTTTTTATGTATACGGTCGAGGCTCTCCGGCGAGCGTGTAACGGTGGCGAAAGCAACGATATTACGTATTTAGACTGTCTTTTCGAAGCATTATGTATTCCTCTTTTGTCGGTAAAATTTATCCGAATTACAAACCACCGTATCCGTCGTTGTAATTCACTCATGAAAAAAATAGCGAGAGTGAGAGAGAGAGAGAGGATGAAACACTGATCGCGAGAAATGGAGAGAGTGAGAACGTCGTTTTTGTTTTTGTACGCTGGGAAGAAACAAAATTCATTGTATTAAATATTGTATTATATATACAGACAGACAGACACACACACGTAGATTATGAGAATCTTAAAGAAAATATAAGAGACTATTTTAAAAGAAATTTTCGTTCCCTTTTTCTTTCCTTTCGATTAATCCAAAATTTAACCGTTCGGTGTTTTCTTCGAAATCTTACGTGTTTACGATCATTCGAGATTAGAAGATCGAAAAAATGTATATTTGTTTCTTTGAGACGCGCGCACGCGTGGCAAGCTTTTCGAGATAGCAACGAGCACTGATAATTTGAGAAGAGTTGACACATTCGAGCAAAGATACACCGCATATGGCTTTACGAGGTGATTTCAAAAGGAGTGCTACCATCTTTCCTCTCGCATCTAATTCGATCGAATCGTACTCGATATTAATATTATTAATCCCTACTTTATTTCTCGTTCGACGAGAAGTTCTGGAAGTTCTCGATAAAAATCCAGGAGAAACTTTCGAAAGCCAAGACGAATTTTGGAAAAATTTATAGCACACTTGGAGGAACCTAGAGTCTAAACTCTAGAGAAAGCACGGAATCGGAGGGAGTGCCGGGGGAAAGTTTAGGAGACTCCGGAGAGAACATATGGGAAATTTAAAGAGAAGCTAGGAAAAAGGTCTGCTGTGAGGAGATTGTAGGAAAACTTTAGCAGAGTATGGTAGGATACAACGGGAAATAATGTACGTAGAATGTGGGAAAATTCAGGGAACTTCCGAAGTAAAGGAAGTCCAAGTTGCACGAGAGTGTGCTAGGATGTAAGTTAGGTCGGAGATAAACAGAAGCCAACTCATAGAATGACTCGAGCACTGAAAGCAGTCACGTTGGATGTACACTCATACAATTGTACTTAGCTGTGCAATCGACGCATTGTTTCCGTTATCGCGGTCGATTGGTAGTATATACCTCGATCGCCACACGTACTCGCTAAACTTTCTAAGCACGCAACCACATGCATGCCTGTTGCTAATTAACGATGCACTTGTGTCGATAAATGACGTCAAGTTCCATCTACGCGTGGTAGTTTTTTTCCAACTATTAGACCGTTCATTCATCATCCTTCAAGACTGTACATCGATTTTGATGAGCCGGCAATTGTACTTTTATCCTCGTTCATCGTTATAACGTCTAATGTGAAAATGTAACGCGTGCAGCTGCACACGTGCACATGATGCAACCATATTCTTGGGGATCGAGAGTTTCGAATAAACTGAAATGAGCATCGTCGGAAAATGGTTTTATAAATTGTACGACACTGTATAGTGTACGCATAAAAGGGCTATTAATCGATAGGTACTTGTGTTTTCTCGAATTTTAAAACGGACATTTTTATTACAGATATTTATGTTATCGACAAGAGCAAAGTAGTAATGCCGAGTTATCGACGTTTCTTAACTTTTCTTTTTAAAATATCTTATCATTGTTATAGATGCTACAAGTGTCCTTAATACAAATATTATGCGCTATCGGAATAACTTAAATGTTACAAGTGTATAATTGTAAATATAATTTTGAAAGAAATGACAATAAGAAGTTTGAATCGAATAAGTGATGATCCTAATGTCCCTTTTCAAGTTCAATATTTTCCATCAAGTTTCGATTAAAAATTAATGTTACCAAAAGCTTCCTATATTAAATTGCAATAACGATGATATCCGTTTTTATCGAGGACACCGCGTGCGCGCAGAGCAGACCTTGAATCGAAGTATGACTGATGCAATGCTTCAATCAACGCCAATAAATGTCACCGGTGGTGCGATGTAATTAGGAAAAGGTTCAGTGGCACGAATAAACCAAAATTCGTATTAAAATGTTCGATTCAAAAATCGGCACATACAAATGCATACGCGTACTTATTTGATGTACAGTCAAAATAAAATCATTATACGACAAATAGCATCGCCATTCTACATTCGCGTATTTCGTTAAATTATTTCTCGCGTCAGAATAATTGAAACTGGTGACTGGAATGGTTGAAAAAAATTCACGACATAGTTGCACGTGTTTGGCGTTCTCAACCGGAAATTCGAAAGGGATACCAAAAAGTTCCTGGCATCTTTCCAATAGTCGAATAGCATCACTTCTGTTCGCGAGGCAAAGATCAGCACAACGACAAACTCTCGAGTTTCGTTGATTATTCCTGCCGTGTACTTCTTGTCCATCCGCCGATACCATCGGACATCGATTATAAATCGTCAGCTCAACAGACTGGATCGTACTTTACTAAGGATCACCGTTCGGTAGAACCATTCGTTAAAAAGACAACGTAATTCGCTACGCGATCCACTGCTATCGGTATATCATACTAATTGATAATATTATACATTGCAGCGACCGTCAGACTTTATAACGTCACGATGCAATTTTGCACGATTCGAACAGAAAACTCTAAAAGAGTATATTTTCAAGGATCACTGTTTTCGTCTCGGTGGCTAATTATAAAGTGCACTTGCGCTCCGAAACACAAGAAAGAAAAATAGAACTACGCTCGTCCCTGCGAAGTTTCGTAGCGGAGGCAAAAATTCAACAGAAATGGCGGGAAATTATCTCCCGCGACTCGAAAGTCTAGTCAGAGTTCACAAATGCGCATGTGTCCTTTTTATTTCTTGTTTCTTTGCTGGTTCTAACATTCTTTTATTTTTCTTTTGCAAGCAAACATTAATTTTCTATGATAAATGTTCCTTTTTCAAATCCACTCGAACGAATAAAACTTTACCTCGATCAAAACCGGTTCGATCGAATTACAATCGGACAGACGTTTGGAAAGCAATACGTGTTTCTGGTTACAGGTTCTGCAATCGGGGAACGTCGAAGAAGAGTAGCTGTAAATGACGGAGCGGTATGAATCGCCCGAGGTGACCATCATACTGACCAAGGAAGAGATCCATAAAAGATACCAAGACGCATCGCTGGTCATATTCAAAGTATTTATTCGTGAAACGCAAGTTTTCAAATAATTAGTGTTATACTTTGTAATCAAAACTGATGAGAACCGATGCTAGAAAAAGTTAGCATTTTAGGACAAAATCTAGTTCTGACTGATGGGACATTTCTTCTTTTACGCTTTCTTGTACTACGCATTAAAACCATAAATTGCAAGCGACCGTACACTACCATGTTTGTTTTCAATTGCATTACAGGATCAACAAGACAAAAAAGAAGCAGCGAATTATTTAACTTTCGGGACAAGTCGTAGAACTATGGAGTATAGCAGTTACGGAAATCAACCTGTTGTCGTGCGAAGACCAACTGGTAGTTTAGTAACTCATAATGATCGAAAGTTGTCCTCGCAGATGTTAAGGATATATCGGAAGCCTCGAGATAGCTGTGTAATAAATTAAATTATAATGTTTTCAATTGTAAATTAAACGATCGTTATTTTGTAAGATTGGATCTTTAATACTTTTCTCTCCTAAATATCTTTACAAGTTCTAAGGTTGATTAGTCGATTTAGTATTGATATTTATAGGACCTGTTATTTTGCTGTACTTTTGTTTCTTACTGCAATACTCGTAGATCAATAATTTGGCGACACTGATTACAATTTTGATTAGTACGATTATATACACGAACAATTATTTAAATATTTATATACTATATTTATACAATATGTTTTTTACCGAATACATTTTGTTAATTACAATTTGATCGGTCTAGATTAAGTGTGGTCCGACATTGAGCCGACCTAGGTACAGGTCCGGCATTTGCGTTCACGATAAAATTCGTAATACATTCGAACGTTACGAAAATACAAGCAACAATAATAGCTGGGCATTATAACCATTGCTTTCACAAGAACAATTACAGCGATATTCATGACTTTGTATAAAATAAATATGTAATAAAAGACGTAGAGCATAAAAAGATCCATCCGCCATGGATCCGATTTGAGCGCCAGAAAAAATTGGCAAGGAAAACAGCAATGAACTCACGAAATCACTGGTAGTTAGTGAACTTGCTGTTTCAACATGGGTTATGATGTTAATATTAAGTGCAGAAAATTATCGGGATAGCTTAAGTGTTCTGACATCCACTGGAGCGGAGTTTCCAGAGGTGGCATAATACCATGGGTAATCACATTAGCTATAAAAAAAATCATACAAAATGATGGTACATCGTATTGTGAGAAACTGATAAAAACACAGAATATATGTACCATTTTCATTGTCTGGAAATACTTCATTTAGTAAATGCCTCAATGTTTTCCTTTGGCCTTCTTCATTGATAGGTTTCATAAGCTTTTGTACGTATTTGTCTTCGCTAGTGTAACAACGAAACGGTATATATTTGAAACCTTCTTCGCTATTGGTAGCTTCCATAAGTTTTCTATTCACGGACCAGAACTGATCGAATTTGTCGTTGAGTAAGCCAGACCACAGCTGATTGTGATCTTTCTTTTGCATACTAGAGACTACTTGACCTCTGTGTTTTAATACATCCGCTTCTTTTATACAAGAAAGAAAATATGCTTCAACAATTTCTCTAAAAGTTTAACATAATCAGATCATATATTTAGAAAATTAAAACAAAAGCAACATATACATACTTATTTTGACAATGCATCAGTACGTTCTCTGGGAACTTATCGAAATGAACAACGATATTCCAAGGCAATTGTACGTCGTTAAAATAGATATCCAAAAGTACACCAATAGGATAGTGCCATTTTAAAGGGATTCCATTAAACTCTAACCACATTTCATGTTCTTGTTTGCTGTCACTTTGTACGTGTCGTATAAAATGTTTTCGTACCTAATAAGAAATGAAACAAAAGCAGCATGTGACGTTAAGTAAAACAGCTTATTTATGCCAACTATAGAATTCTTCTAAATATTCATTTACCTTATCTGTGCAGAGCGGAAAATAACTTAACCTAGGTACCATAAGATAATAAGGATCAGGACCTTGCAATTCGCATATTTCCTCGGGATCAAGAGTGAAACAAACGGGAATTTTACCATCCCAAATTTCTCTCAATACTTCCCTGTCATTCGCCATTATGCGTATAATGACAGATAACGTTTAGTCTAATTCATTCGTAGTTCCAATAACAATAGACTATTCTATAGTAAAGAGGTTATGGTTTTCGTCTGCTACAAATATTGACTATATATTTGACGGAGATGGTCAAGCTCGTTTCGGGACATCCACTTGTCACGTCTACTCTCGTCATGTCGGTAAGTATGGTTCCTATGGAACTACAGGTGTGGTCACAGCATATAGTCATACATATTATATACCATTGACGAGTGTAGAATAGACCAGTTACGTAATGATTTCAACGAAATTTCAGAAAACTGGCATGCTTTAATATCGACAAAATTGTGGAAATGAGCTCTTTTCTTGCAAAAGAAGATAACTGTAAGAATAGCTTTTGGCGGCTCGAATCAAAATTTTTACCATTATCATTCCCTATATCACCGACGAGACACAGTATAGTTTGCGAATTGTTCTGAACATGTAATCCGCATCTTCGGATCCACGAAATATATTCCAAAGAGCATAAAATCAATATTAATAAATATATAATATATTAATCAATAAAATGAATGTTAATTAAATTAAAAAAAAAAATGAAACAAGTGGCGCCATCTCTCCGGCGAACAAGGTGAACTACACGGTTTTGAAATCGCTACTTGATTAGTTCCCTCACGCTGTCGCTAGATGGCGGCATGCGTATCGTTTGTACCGCCATCTAGTGGTAGCAGATGAGAACTAATTAAACATTCCGAAGAAGCATAAAAATCGTTTCTCTTCGCTGACTGCCCGTATTACGCCATCCCTCTGTAGACAGTTTTATGTGTCTCACATTAATTTGCATAATCGAATAGAGGAATCTGAATAACGTCAGAGCTTGAGTGTTGCAAAATAAAATCGTCCCTTAATTTTAAAATTCTTGTGAGGGTGCGGCGATTTCCCAATCGTGGTTTTAGCAAACATTGGGAAATTTGTAGAAATGTATGTTTGATTGCTGTTGATTTTTGGGAATTGGGAAATTTAGTTTCAGTCGAATAGGGGGTTGGTTTAATGATGGTTGATAAAGTGGATTGCGATGGTAGGAATCTACTGTATCGTCGAAAGTTTTAGTTATTGAGACCTCTGGCGAGGGAAAACGTCGAAAAATACCGTCATGTTACAATTTCGACTAAATTTTATATAAACTACATCTTTGAACCCATAAAATGTATTGTAAACAGTATACAATCAATATTGATAAATATATATCGTATTAATTAATAAAATTAATATTAATTGAGCGTTCGCGGAAATAGAGAAAGTGGCGCCATCTCTCCGGCGAACAAGGTGAACTACACGGTTTTGAAATCGCTACTTGATTAGTTCCCTCACGCTGTCGCTAGATGGCGGCATGCGTATCGTTTGTACCGCCATCTAGTGGTAGCAGATGAGAACTAATTAAACAGCAGTTTCAAAACCGTGTAGTTCACCCTGTTCGCCGGAGAGATGGCGCCACTTGTTCCATATTTTTTTTTTATTTAATTAATATTCATTTTATTGATTAATATGTTTTATATTTATTAACATTGATTTTATGCTCTTTGAAATATATTCCGTGAGCCCGAAAATGCTGATTATGTATGCAGAACAATTCGCACACTATACAGTGTCTCGTCGGCGATATAGGAAATGACATAGGAATAGCAAAAAATTTTGATTCGAGTTACCAAAAACCAATCTCACAGATATCTTCTTTTGCACAATTTTGTCGATATTGCAGCATGTCGGTTTTCTGAAATTTCACCATGACTTCTTCATAAAATAATCGTTCAGTCGATAAATTAGGAATCGATATTCGAACATAATTTATTGCTGTGACGTGTCGATAAAAATATATCAGTAAAATAATCTCGTTTTAAGAAATACAGTAAAGAGTATGACCAAAGAGAATGCAGTTTTCTGCAGGGTTATTTGTACGTCCGTTTTTTTGATCGATTCGTTTTACCATGAAAATCCGGTCGAATTCGAGTGACTGCCCTAAGAGGAAGTGAGATAACGTCGTGAATCGTCGAACACACGCGGCTTTACATCAAACATAAATAAACGAAGGAGATTTCTTATCTGTTGGAACGAAGATGTCGGGCGAGTGAACGTATTATCGGTCGAACCTTTGAACTTTGAGAGGGCAGAAAGAAAAGTCACTCTCTTTTCATCGGTACGATAAAAGCCGGTCGTTTCGTTCCGTTCGTTTAACCACCCGATCCCGGACCATGACGTTAATTAGATCGATCATTAAACTCGTAATGCGGCCAGATATCGTACCGATTCGACACACCTGACGTCCAATTTACCGAAAACAAATATAAGGCATTCGAGTCACGCTTCGACCGTATCTCTTGATAATTTCAATTTCGCAGTCGCAATTTACGATTTAATTAATACACGGGAAACACGAAGCTGTCAAGCATCCAGCATTTTTCGAACGATATTCCAACTTTTCTATGCAAATATTTTTGTCGGTCTTTCTATACTTATCTAGTTCCTTATCACTGTTCAAACTTGTACACGAAGTATTCTTGGCACGACCAGTTACGCGTTCTTAAATAAAACAATCGCGATATTGGTTCGCATTGATTTTCATGGCATACATCCGAAGAGATCGTATTTATTCGTCTATTTACATGGGTGCGCGTGACTCGCGTCGATCGTTCGGGGTATCGAACGTCCGTTTATCGTACCACCTTTTTCTTTTTCTTCTCCTTTTCTGCCTCGTCGGGTTTTTATCGGTGCATCCAGTAATAACTAGCGCGAGTTACGTAGAAATTGCAAAGGAGCGGGCGCGGACGATGCGCCATCAATTTTGCGCACAGCTGCGCTTCGTGGCGTGTGTGCGTGGCTCGCTCGTGTCTCATTGTCAGACAGGCTGACCCGTCTGTCTCCGCCGATAAACGACAGCTCCTGATAAATTTGTATTATAAACAGTCGGACTCGAAGAACGATCGGGGGTGGTAATTTCAACGAGAGAAGCCCCGATCTACGTACAAACTGATCGATTCCTGAAAATCGCATCCTGCTACCAAACTGCTTTCGATCAACCGACAAGCTAAAATTGAGCGCTAATCGAATCGAGGTTAAAGGAATTATAATGCTATAAATGCTTAAGCCCAGTTTAACCTCGAAATCTTGCTACTCTTTTTAAAATTTGATAAAACTTCGATTCGGAGCAGTTAAATTAATCTCTCAACATTAACTTTTTGCAAACGTCCGATTAAAAATATTCGATAATAAAGAGCAGAAAAAAGGGATTCTCAGGCGTGTCTGTAACCGAGGTCATCGTCGGATTTATTCTTAGCGGCAACTCTTGATCGGCAACGAAAGCTCGAGTACGATAAATGCAAGAAAAAAAAATGATCCGGAATCTCGAATCGATAAGAGAAGAGGACGACGAGGAGGATCAAAAGTGAAACCTTCGCGAAGAATGCATCGTGGTATCTTTCGAGAACGACGCGCTAAGTCGAGGTTAATTAGCATAAATCGCGGGGGAGACAGCGCCAGATATTTCTCTTCCTCTTTTCCTTTTTATTTTCTCTTGCATCGAAGATCAATCGAAGACGAAACGTTTACGTGTTTCTCGCTATTTTTTTTTTACGAATTTGCCGTACAAACGATTCACCATTTTTAATCGTTTCTGTTCTCCTTTCATCCGAGAAACAGGAGAACATCGAGAAGCGCAAGATACTTGGTCCGCAATAAAAGTTTCATTTATAAAACAACCTTCAACCTCGTTAAATAGTTCACAGCTATCTTGTCAACGACGAAGAGCACGATGAACGTGAACGATAAACTTCTTTTTAATTCCCTCGATGTTTAGTCTGCGTGTTGTGCTATCCAAGACCAGTTATTTGATTCGTAAAAATTTCAATTACACTACGATAGTTTCTAATAAAATGTACAGGCAACCCATTTGATAAATTTTAGATATTTCATAATTTATTATAAATATTAAAAACACGCGAAACCAGAAGTTACATTTCGATGTAACATTGTTGCCGGACGAATGGAAGTTCGTTATAGTCCGAGAATTAAGGGATTAAAGTCGCGGGATCCCAGAACGAGTTTCAAGAAAGGAATATTATTTGTCTCGCCTCCTCCTCTGTTAGCGGTCTGTTCTTCGTTGAAAAGGATGGTAGGAGGCAGAGGTTAATTAACATCGAGGCAGGATTTTCAGGAATTCCGTTGAAAGCGGTATCTGGTCGCCATAGTCTACGCGCGACCGTAATTTTCAACGTTCCTGGCTCGCAGGGAACCTTTTTTAATTCCCTATGTTTTCAGGAGTCATTGGCCGCGCCCATCGGGATCCTCGGTGCCACCGATCGAAACAAAAATCAGTTTCCGGCTGATTCTTTCCATTCGATCTGCCAACGAGTCATTTTTACGTCCCCACAAGTTTGCGCGTTCGGTTTCTTTGTTCTCGTCTTCCGAGTAGCATCGTTTTTGTCGTGAAACTTTTTTTTTTAAACGGACTTGGGTTAAAAGCGAAATGCAACTGCCTCGATCCGAAACAAGCCGTATATTTCTTGTACATTGTGCAACGAAGCAACATGATCGCGAGAGAAGCGAGAGAACTGGGACGAAAAGGGGAAAATTTAGCGAACGTGAGCGGTGTATGAGCGGTGTATGGCACTTCCGGCGTGACGGTGCCGGAACTGCACGGCCGGCCGGTTCGGTGTCGCGACGACGAGCAGTACTCGCCCAAAGTCATTTCACGCCCGGCGGAGCGCGGAAACGGCCGTTTACTCGAGATTTTCGTTCATAAATCAAGTCGTAAGCTTTCATGCACCCCTCCACGCCCGCTTCTATGGGGGCCCGATTCGCTTCGATGGGGGTTGCGCTCTTATTTAACCACTTAATCGTCGTTGCTTGTTTATCGATGCACCGGAAACGGAAGGGTTGGAATCGCTGCATTCGCTCCACTGCGTCGCGTTAACTATTATGGACTGTGAAAAATATGTCCAATCGGTGCAACCTCGGCTGCCAGTAGTGCGATACGAACGCGTGGACTTTGCATATTTTAAGAGACGATATACTAAACGAGTATATTCGTCTGTTTTCTTCTTCGGATTTCAATGTAGCATCGTTGTCGTCTCGCGGAGACCTCCAGGTTACGTATAGCAGGACAGGAAGTTGCGCCCAAGGAAACATAGACT